TTTAGAGTCAGATGGAGAAAATATTCCTTATAACCCATATCTAGGAGCCTTAGCAGCTGAATTAGAGGACGATGAAGACGTTCTTACGGGACAGGACAATTCAGAAGATTTTCTGGACCAACCATTGATTCAGGATGAGCAGCTTGTGCAATGCGCACAGTCGTTGGAGCGAGTGGAAGCACAACCGACTGAATCTCTCATGAATTTGAGGAATTTACTGTGGAGAAAACAGTCTTTTCTATTTGATGAGAATAACATCAAATTTGGTGGGTCTGAAGAGTTACCTTCATCTATAATGAAACTGCAAAGTCCGTATCAGTTTTTTATCTACTTTTTCACGAATCCGTTTATGGAAAACATTGTTACTGAATCAGCACGCTATGCTGTCCAGAAACAACCTGACAGACCTGAAATATTCACAGAGGGTGAACTTCGCAAATATTTTGATATTTTAATATTTATGTCTGTTTACCATTATCCGAGCACAAGGTCGTATTGGTCTAATAAATTTAGCTTCAGTCCCATCAAAGAGGCAATGCCAATAAATAAATTTGAGAAAATGCGAAAGTTACTGCACTTCAATAATAATGATGATCATCTGCCAGTAGACCACGTGCAGCATGACAGGCTTCATAATTTACGTCCTATAATCACCCATTTAAATGAAAAGTTCTCTAGCGTGACCATCGAGCAGCGATTATCTATAGATGAACAGATGTGCGCCACCAAAGTGGGACATTTTCTCAAACAATATCTCCCCAACAAACCCCAGAAATGGGGTTTTAAATTGTTTGTTTTATGCAATTTGAGCGGTTTTGCTTATAGATTCATAATCTACTCTGGGAAAGAAGCTAATGAAGGATCCTCAAACAGTCAAAACCTGGGAGTTGTAGGACAAACAGTTATGAATTTTCTGAGTGTGGTACCCAGGCAAAGAAATCATATTGTCTATTTTGACAATTACTACACATCTTTGCCATTGATGTGTATACTTGCTAAGCAAGGTATACATTCCCTAGGCACTATTCAAAGAAACCGACTGGGAAAAACTTGCAAGTTGCCAACTAAGCAGGATGTTATGAAAAGTTCAATTCCAAGAGGGTCTTATGAAGAGTATGTTACAAATTTTGAAGGCATTGACATGACAACAGTAAGTTGGAAGGACAATAAGCAAGTTGTGTTAGCGTCGACATACGTTGGAGCATGTCCCGTAGGGAATATCGAACGATTCGATAAAAAAGAAAAAAAGAGGATTCTTATCACGTGCCCAAAGCTAATCAGGGAATATAACATGCACATGGGTGGTGTAGACCTCATGGATTCCTTTTTAGGAAGAAATAGGATTCGAATGAAGAGCAGAAAGTGGTACATGAGAATCTTCTATCACCTGCTTGATTTGACAGTAATAAATTCGTGGGTGTTATATAAAAAAGTTGAAGAAAAAAAAAGGAAACCACAAACAAATCATGACCCTTGCAGACTTTCGATCAGAGTTGGCAGAAACTCTTTGCAAATATAGTCCCGCTAACAACGGAGGGCGCCCAAGCACCAGTGCAATTAGGGAAGATCAACCCCCACTTAAAATGCGAAAAGGGAAACCTTGCCAAGTTTTGCCACCCCTTGAAGTTAGACTCGACCAAATGGATCATAACATCATGAGAACAGAAACACGTGGTCGATGTATGATGCCATCATGTAATTTATTAAGTATAATTAAATGTTCTAAGTGCAATGTTCACTTATGTAGTAAGAAATCCAAAGATCGTTTCACCCATTTTCACAATTCTTCAACTTTGTAAAATCATGATTATTTTGCAAAGCTAATGCATACTGTATCGAAAACGATACTAAAATATTTTTATAAAAAAATAAATGTTCCCGTTAATATAGATTTTTTATTTTATTTTATTCAGTAAATGTTACGCCTTTATGAGACAAAATAATTTTTTTGGGAAAAAATCTTTTATTATGCATTTAAGGGTTAAATATCCAAATAAGTTTCCTGAGCCGAGTTGTCATTAATTCTAGGCGTGAATACCAAGACAGTCTTTGGTCAACCATTACTCCTAGATACTTTATATTTGAGACTTTATTTATTTGAGAGCAGTTACAACTAGAGCTTTGGACGACAGAGCATCCGTGAATTTTAATTTGAAAATCAGGTGTAGGTTGAGTGCAGTTGTACATGGTAAAGCAAATATATTTAGTTTTGGATATATTCAAAGTGAGTAGATTCTGATTGAGCCAATTCACCATCCTAGCAAGACCTAATTCTGCTGTTTTCCTTACAGAGTCCCATGTATCTCCTGTAAATACAATAGCTGTGTCATCTGCATAGGAAAAAATCTGCCCATTATAAAGTTTCATATTACACAGTTCATTAATATAGGCAGGAACTTTACTTAAAATTATAAAACAATTCTACTTCCCGCGGTATAGCGCCAATAGTAGCGACCCGTCATCTCCTTGATGAATGGCTATACTCACAAACATACATATATATCCCTAAAGGGGGCTATGCTAATCCTTTGGGCGAGAAAAGAACCAGCTCTCGTCTCTAGTGGTGACGACCAGTCACGGATACAGATCTTCAAAGAACACTTTTTATTATTATTAGTTATTAGTCCACAGTTCTTTTACGAGGGCGATACTGAAAGTGTTTAGAACTGGTCACTTGTAAACGATATAATAAAAAAATAAGTTCAAATTTTGAAATTGGAAGTCTTTGCCAACATTATTGTGATATTAATTTGTCATTTGTTTACGATTTGGCGGCAAATTGAAAATTGTCTGTGTCACGTGAGCATGCATTTAATGCGAGACAAAATCGCACCACTTTTACACATCAAAGTCCACTTCAAACCATTATTTAAACAATAATACAGGAGCAGCAAACCGCCGCCGACCAAGTTCCCGCCAAAAACTCCCTTTGTATAAACCAAATTTAAGTCAACAAGAAAGTTATGATGGACTTCGATTGTCCTTTCACGATGAAGCCCCATCTGGTACTACTGTTTACAACTGGTCGCACTAATCTTACCGATGATCTGCGTGAGGTACGGCCTTCTACGGCGACGACTGAAGATAACATCAGTGTTGTGCGGCGTATGATAGAGACTGACAAAAGAGTGACTTATCAGCAGATTCGGACAAGCTTAGGCATCGATATGAGTCAAGTGCTGTGTTCGACATACTTACGGGTGAGGTGAAGAAAGCTGGATTTATTGTAATGATCTTGAAACTAAGAGACAGTCTGCTGTCTGGGTGTTTCCTTCCGAGGAGTTGCCAACTAAAGTGAAGAGAGGTCGAAGCGTGGGAAAAAAGATGGTGGCCTCGTTCTTCGGAAGGACAGGTCATTACGCAACAATTGTTTGCCACTTGTTTTGGAAAAAGTTCGGGAGAAATGACCTCGGATCCTCCTTAACCACGACAACGCCTCGTCACACACCGCGAAGCAAACAATCGACTACTTGGCGACGTCAAGACATGGAATTACTGGGTCACCCGCCCTATAGCCCCGACCTCGCACCTTGCGATTTTTATTCATTTCCGAAAATAAAAGAAAAACTTTGAGGAAAATGTTTTATGGACGCCGAGGCAGTAGTGCCTGCGTTTCAAAATGCCGTCGAAGAGACCCCTAAGGACAAGTGGGCAAAGTGCTTTTCTCAGTGGTTCTATCGGATGCTGCGATGTATTGTAATGTAACTGGTTACTATTTTGAAAAGATATAATAAAACTAATAACTTGCTAGTTTGTTCAGTTTTTGATATTCTAAGAACTTTCAGAGTCACCCTCGTAGAAACTGTATCACGCGTAGACCCGCCCGGACCGAGTCTCCACAGCAAATGGCACAAATATGAACATAGTCATCTTCCAGACTCATATTTGAGCCATTTACAGTTCAGCCGCCCCGGCTCTAGATAAACGATGTACCTCTGAAATGAGAGACGGAAAAAGTGACTACACACGTAGCATTCCACACCAAAGTCATGCGTCAGGGTCTCTAGACTCCAAAACCGAGGCACCATTTCTAGACACACAAGAGCCAGATTAGGATTATTGAGTATTTTCTACAGATTTCAAAAAGGAGGAGGTACTCAATTTGACTGTATGTTTTTATGTGTGTTACCTCATAACTTCTTTCTGGGTGATCCGATTTCAATGATTCTTTTTTTTTTGAAAGCGGAAATAATTTTTTTTTGAAAGCTGATGCTTCACACATGGTTTCATATAAATTTGATCAAGGTCTGACCAATAGTTTTTGAGTTATTCTTAATAATTTATGTTGAAGTCGGTTGTACAAAATTTTTAATTTTAAATTATATAGAATGGGGTTGACAAACGAGCGCACAGCCCTCCTGATGGTAAGATGTGTTGTCACCCCTGAGGACTAAGATGGAATGCCTCGTTTCCAGTAAAAAGGGTCTCTCGTACTCTCCCTCACCGTATGAAACACAGGTCTAGTCAGGCATGGTCTTTCCTGTTACAATCATAATAATATAGCTGAGGCATGGCTCTACTACATCATGTTGATCAATTAAATAAGGTAAAATAAAATAATTTCAAGGCTTTGAATAATTTTATTGTGTAAGAAAATATATCCTACTTACTTAAAATTAAGTATGACTTTTGAACTTAACTTTCAATACCTGATGGACAAGATAATTACAATAAACTGAGAAATATTGGGTATGTACCATTTCTAATAAATATAAACAATGTGATCAAGCAAACAATTTTTGCATTATATCTTTATGTTATAAATGTTTGATTCAGTCAAATAAATTATTAATTTCAGATGTTATATAGTTACTACAACTAACAATTAGATTTATTCATCGTGAAGGGTATCAATATAATATTGGATTTTTTTTAATTGAGCTGTTATATTCCATATTTTATTTAAAACAATCTATTAACTTCTTTATTATATAGTAATTACTGTTATGGTAAGCAATTTTAAAATGAATGTGATTAAAATATTTTGTGCAAAAATAAGATTATATGCCAAGACCAAATACAGAGACAATACAGTACATAGTCTTATTTTCCCAGCGCACAGTGCAAGAACCATCAGTATTATTGTCCCAGAAGCAGGAAGAGGCTGTGTGAAGTCCTGCACCATTTTTCTGCATAATTGTACATGTCACTAAAACAAGTAAATAAATATAAAACTTGAATTAAAAACCTTTACAAGAAAATGATTTATTAATTTTTCTTATTACATTAAGTGTAGTAATTTGTTTTGTATATGAATAAAAGCACCATTATTGTCTGCCATATAAAGCTGTGTCCGATTGCCGGTCTGAGTACTTTTTTTATTTCTATTTATTTTAAATAAATGTCACCAATGTCAAAATCCTAGTGTGTACTAGGATTTTTTTCTATATTGCAAGGGTAGTTTAAATACACACATTTCACAAGGACAACAATTCAGGCCCAGAACAATTATTTGTAGGCCATACAAATAGTTTGGGACTTCTGTTCTCCTGACACATCTCCACTTCTTTCAGATCCATATAACTATGCATAAATGCTTGTCTATTAAGGTTAATTAATTTGGCTTATCTTCAATATATCACCAATTTTGTAAATAAACTTTTGCCTAGAGGGTTATTTGTAGACTCTGCCACTCACTTCAGAGATAATATATACATAAAACAAATGCAATTAAAAAAAATTACTACATTTTTATCATATTCTTGCATTGTCATCTGAATTTAAGCTATATTAAAAATTTCAAGTTTCCAGCTCATCCAGAAGTTAGTTTAAAATCAATTACTAAATTCCACCCGCAACAACAGACAGAATAATAAAAATGTGGTAAAATATTTGTCATTGTTATAAAAAGATTTCCTTTATATCAACCCATAACAGTCCACCCCTGGATTTCTCCTATGGTAGATGGGATTCACCTTGATCATCCATGGCAGGCAGAGCCAATCTCAATACCAGACATATTGCAAATTAGAAGCTGATAATTTTATGTTGATATGAAAAAAAAATCCGTTATTTACATACCTAATTGGATAGTTCTTAATCAAAAAAAGGAAAAAAAAACATGTTACTTGTAATAACAGATTATCTATACAAATAAATAAAATATTAAGTGTCTGTTTGTAATGTCAAAATTACAGGTTTTAACTAAATACATATGAAAGTATATAACATGGTACTAATAACAAAAATACTATTTTTAAAGTTTTTGTCTGTCTGTCTGTTTGTTCCGGCTAATCTCTGAAATGGCTGGACCGATTTTGACGGGATTTTCACTGGTAGATAGCTGATGTCACAAGGAGTAACTTAGGCCACTTTTATTTTAGAAAAGAATTACGGTTCTGCAAAAAAAAATTAAAACCCACAAATAACCCAAGGACGAAATTGCGCAGAACAGCTAGTTTTAAAATAAAGTGGTTTACTGAGTAGATGATGTGAGAGGGTGGTCTCTTAAATATTTCTCCTAGCAAATAGCAGTGCTTGCACAGTTGTTGTTTATTTCCAGTCTGAAGGGTATAGCGAGCCAGAATACATACAGGATGTGAGGCATTTTGTCTGAGTTTTCAGAGTTAACTACTTATTTTCAGCATTCTTTGTTTGAAGTTGACTGCGGATGTGGTCTGCTATAGCCACCCATTTTTATAATAGTAATAACTGTGAAGTTTTTTTATAGGATAAGGGTGACAAACGAGCACACAGTCCACCTGATGGTAAGTAGTTGCTGTGGCCCATAGACATCTACATCTATCCTCGATTACAAACCAAAATGCAGATGCATTGTCACCCGTGAGGACTAAGATGGAATGCCTCGTTTCCAGTAAAAAGATTCTCCGGTTGTCTACACTCACCATCCGGAACACAGCATCATTAAGCTGCTATTTTACACTAGTATTCTGTGAGAGCGCAGTCCTTCCCCGGTTGAGCCGACCCATTAGTGCTACAACTATACTACTAATATAGCTGTGTCTGTAGCAGTTGTACATGTTGCACCACTGCATTAAATTCTCCCTTAATATTTCAATAACTTTACTTTTGATTTCTTATATATACACGAAGACTACATATTACATGAAACTAATTTTTACAGATTTTATTGCGTTTAATTTAACTTTTTAATTCCCGACGTTTCGTGTGCTATAAAGCTGTAAAACTTAGAAGCTGATAGCTCACGGGGGGGGGGGGGGGGGGGACTGAAATCTTTGACGTCCCAATGTCATAGTTAGCCAGGCTACCTTCAGTTTTTGAATATTAATTTTTGGTCCGATCTACGCAGAATGACCTTACAGTATCTTGAAGTCTTGCAGTGGTATGCTTGGATTTGGATTTAATTTTATTAATTATAGGATCCCAAGCAGATGCCAGCACCCATCCATCTTCTCTATTGAAATTAGGATGTATTTTAATTTCAATAGCCTCACGAATCATCCTTGGTAGGAATCGGTGTTCTTTTGCGATGATTTGTGGTTTATCAAATCTAATGTAATGGCGGGGACGATCTAGAACATGTTCACTTCCCGGAACGTCGGTGTTTTTGAGGCAAAAAATTAGCAAAAAAACTGTAATTTTGACATTACACACAGTCACTTCAATTTTATTTGTTTGTATAGATACAAGCTCTTTGTCAACTTTAACAAGTTTTTCAATTACTACATTTTAATATATTTAATAGCTACAAAAGTTTTGATATTTTATAAATAATTATAAATGTTTAGTAAAAGTAGGTACCATTAGGCTTACCTATATATTTATAAGGTTTTTGTAACTTGGTAAGTTGACTCAAGCAAGATTCCACAACTGCCGAAGTCCACTGATTCACTTTGGTGTGTTGATATGCAGTCCCTCCGATTGAATTTTCAATAGCTTCTTTTATAATTTTACTCACATCGTCTACTACGAATTGATTCTGAAACACGCCAAAAAAGTATATAACAATCAATACTCACTTTTTGTAACTGTTTGCTAAAAAAAGTCATACTTCTTCAGTTAAATCATTGCATTCTTTAACTTCCATGATTTGAATATTTAGGTACTCGATGAGATAAAATTTGTGAACAATAAAACAACAGAATTTGACGTTATAGGGCGAAATCAAATCAACTTCTAAAATCTAAATTCTCATATTTTTTATAACTGGTTTCCGTTCCGGCTCTGGGTTCTAGCCTTTCTGAGCCTAAAGTTACAATATATAATTATCGTTTATAGTACACTGCTTCACAATATGTTGATGCGTCACATTGTGCACCCTTTGGAGATTTTGACGGCAACTTGAGCCAGCAGACAGCTGACAGATGGCGATGGTATCTCAAGGCGCCTAATCCGGCCTAAGCAGACAGACGCCTTATCTTAAGAATCACATCAGCAGCAGAGCATTTGTTTCACCGTTTCCACTAATAATTCACATGCGCAGACACTTAATACACAAAATCGCACCACTTTTACATATCAAAATCCACTTCAAACCATTATTTATACAATAATACAAGTGCAGCAATCCTCCACGGTACACGTTCCCGCCAATACTCTAAATCATAGATAATGATAAATAAATATGTAGTAAGCTACTCTAAATTATCCATAGAGATGTATACCCACACATAGATATAGTATACATTAGATTGGCGATGGCGTGATTACGTAGATAGAGGATTGACGATTGATTGAAGATACTATATCTATGCGTGATTAGGGTGATACCAAAAACGAAATGTACCCGCGTGAGTGAAATGTGCATGTGTGCGACAACAATAGTGCTGCGCGATGTATCAACTTCAATTATCGACACAGAACGCTGTCTGTGTCATAAAATGAATATTATTATTTGAGGGCATAAAAATAAAACTACAAACAAAGAGTTCGTGATTTTTATTTTCCATCAAAAAATAACTAAATTATTATAAAAATGTCGTAAGCTTTCCTTAAGATGCATTTTACAATTTTGCTTCATACTTCAGTCTTATAATCAAATAAATTTCGATTATTAATTTAATAATTAAGTGTTTATGGTTTGATAGTGCTGGCGAATAGTACATATGTATGTCAAGTATGTTAAAAAAATTTTGCAGGACACAAGGCATTCGTTTATTACTTTGCGAAACATATTTTCGTTTACAATTTTCCTTTCACATGTTTTCGGAGAACTCGTTCAGAACGAATACCTACCTCATAAACTTTTTCTTAACCACCCTTTCGATGAAATGCTGCTACAAATCGTTTGAACTAGATGCTAATACAGCACTAATGTTATTTTGAAGTGAGGGAAGCCTTTCTAGGTTTTTTATCACTTGATTCAAGTTTTCCACTTTTTATTAGCCCGTATTTTTGTGCTCTTACATTTTTCAGTTTTTTTGTATCATATCTAATCTTCTCCGAAGAATATAAATAGTTTTCTTCATTTTTTTTCTTTCTCGGAGAATTGCCTACAACAGAAACGTTTACAATTGAGCTACTGGGTACTGGCAATATATCTCTGTAGACATATGACGATGCTTTGCTTACCGGCTTCAATACAACCTACAAACAAATATAATTATTACATTATGTCGTAGATAGAGGATTGACTAGATACTATGTCTATGAATTATGTACTTACCTATGATTAAAATTAATAAAATACCACTCTTTTACCTATTTCTGCCGCTAAACAGCAGTGCTTACAATGCCGCGTTCCAGCCGTTAGAGTATAGAGAGTCTGTATAATTATAAGTTGTAAGACATTTTATCTTAGTCCTCAGATCTAAAATCCCATTTTTTTATAAAATTAGGGTGACAAACGACCACACAATCCACCTGTTGGTAAGTGGTTGCTGTGGCCCATAGACATATGCATCTATCTTCGTTTGCGAATTAAAATGCAGATGCGTTGTCAGCAGTTAGGACTAAGATAGAATGGTGTTGGTGGTGATTGCTTTTGGTGAATGCTTTTGAAATTTGGTTGAAATATAAGCATAGGACTACATATCTAAAAGGCTAGCTGGTTGAGAGATTATCAGATTGAAATCAGCTACTGCACAATTAAGTGAATACTTATATAGTAGATGGCTTGATTATGCCTACTGTTTGAAAATTACACTAAGGACTATCTGTGCATTTCGTTTGCCTCTCCACAGACGCCGTTCATGGGGAATTTGTAGGTGCGCTCTGCACTGAAGCTTAGGTGGCCCCGCTGGGCCGCTTCGTATCGCGTCGCTGTTTGCGGACCTGATACGGTCGGATTGCGGGGCGAATCATAGGGGCGCAGATAGGTGTTTGAAGGAGGTCGTCGGACTTCTGTCCAGGAATAGCACTTATTTATGTGCTGCGATGTCCAGAAAGGGCATCCAGTTGAAGCTCAACCCTCCGGCTTGCCCACATTGGGACGGTATTTTTGAGGTGGTGGTTGGGGTTGCAAGATCTGATGGGGTGCCTAAGGTGGCCTAGTTTGGTTGTAAATTCGGTCTTGCAACTTGCCGTCGCGACCCTGTCCCGCTGGCCGGTTGGCTCGCGGACATAAATCCTTATGTCCGGGACGGGGGTTTGTTTAGGCCAAACAATTAACTTTTGAAATTTGCATTCGCACTCGTTCCGCCCGCTGACTTGTAAAGGTCACCTTGGCCCCACTTCCGTGCGTCGTCGGGTAGAAGGGCGCGAGGTCAGAACTCAGAACGTGAGTGCAACAGAGTCGCTAGAATACTGTGCTATAGAGAGCACGTTTTAAAGACGCCCGGGAAACCTCCATTTTTGGAGACGGTTTTGTTAGTAGATGTTGCCACGACGAAGGTTTCTTTGTAAAGTCTAGAATTCGACGCCGGCCGTCAAGTTGTTAGGAAGTTAACATTGACTGCGATCAAAGTCTGAATTGCGTGTTATGCGCGCCTAATTTACTGCGAATTTGGTTATTCTAATTTGCTAGCATATAAGTGCATTTGACAATATTAATTTGCTCGAGTGGCCTTTGATATAGTTCGGATACGTTTTCGGTATTAGAGATGTGTTACGCTTTAGTTTAGTGTTAGTGGCGTCTGGAAGTATAGTTAACGGACTGTCCTAGTGAAGAAGGAAGAAAGTGACAGTGGGTGACGCCGCGGGAGATTACCACAATTTGGAGGGGCGCCGAAGTCCGGGCTGCTGCCGACTTCGAAGATCCCGGCAGGTCTATCACCACCAACACCACAAACCACCACTATACTCAACACATATACACCTACGGCCTGACCGAGCCTTAAGACAGCAGTCGCCTCACATACAGGTAAGTACTATCTATTTGATTAGCCTCCCCTTTAATTGTAGTAGGATACAACATTTTCCATACAGTTTATTGTGATAGGAAATTCCACGTGGCCATATTGAGGCCCGACCTGCGTCTGCTCGTGAAGTCTTCTGCTGATCGGGCCCCGGATGATTGAACCTTTGTAGGAGCAGCCGTAGGCCGTAACACTCTTCGACAAAACGGCGTTTATGTGGCGTTCAAAACAAACAATTCTCTTAGAAATATCTGTAATAATGTTGCGCGCCACTATTAATGTCTTGTACATGGCAACACTAGTTACACTAGTGCCCTCTAGTGTCGAGTAAATGAAAGTATTGCGCGCCACTAGCGCCCTCTAGTGTCGAGCAGCAGAACTAGGAGAGTCAAGATCTTTCCAGAAATTTCGGGACCGATATGTACTCGAACATTCTAGATGTCGCTACAGTAGAAGATTCTGGAAACTGTCTGAGGCCCTATATAAGGCCGGTATAGACCACGACCGAGGCAGTATTGAATTGGCGATACAAGAGAATACTTCGAAGCGAAATAACGGCGAACTGTGTTTTATTATTAGTGTGATTTTAGATTGTAATTAGTGTTGTGTAATTAAAGTGTCAATTTTGGTAATTCAATCGGCAGTTTTTAATTAACCCCAAGCTCGTAACAATAATAAAGATAAGTTGGACATTCGTCAAAAGTCAGGTGTTTACAAACTTGTTTGTGACGAATGCCACGCCGTTTACGTGGGTCAGACTGGTTGCAATTTCGAGACACGTTATAAAGAGCATTTAGCCGCGTACAGGAATTGCAATCCCGATAAATCCCATTTTGCCAAACATCTTTTGGACACTGGACACAACATAGCCAACGACCACTCCTTTAAAGTCTTACATACGTGTAATAAAGAGATGCGGCTGTGTGTGCTGGAACAGTTAGAGATATTAAAAAGTAACAATAGTACCGTTGCATTGCTGAATGAACAAACAAATGTTACTAACTCACCTCTCTTAAATATTTTTAAGTCTGCTCTCTAATAATAGAGAGCCTCGCAATATGGTCGTTTGTCACCCTCACGGTGATCAGCGATTGGTTGCGTGGTTGGAGGGTGGGCGTTGCGCGGCGGTTTGTTTTTAATTTTACAAACGGCTGCGTAAGTCCGGCGGTGGTTGGTCGCATGTTTTATCGCATGTCGCTCGTTCCTTAAGTAGAGAGCGGTTGCGTCATCGGTCTGTATAAAAGGCACTTGCTTTGGCTCGCCGCTCACTTAACGGTTAGCCACCGTAGAGTCCATATCACCTGAGGATGCCTGGTGTAGAGGCGAAACACGTGTCGTATTATCGTCAGTGGTGTGTCTTGCTCAGTGTAGTGGTGTTGGGAGTAGCGGTGCTGGGATTAGTGGTGACGGGGATAGTGCACGCAATTGAGGGAGGGCGGGAGGTGCTCTTCATACTAGGTAAGACACATCATTTTATTTTATAACGCGGATATTTGCGAAGTAAATTTTTCTAAAAGCTTTTATATAACGGGATTTAGTTGCGTTTTGAAGTTAGTTAAATGCACAATAGGGTTGATAGATTGAATTAGTGAATTGAAGAAACCGTGGGTGACGCCGCTGGAGAATACCTCACCTTGGGGCGGTGCCTGAGTCAAGGCTGCTGACTAAAAGGGCTAATTCAGGTTACACAGATATACACTTCTCACGCACTACTCACATTCACAACAATTACGCCTGAACGAGCCCTGGGAGCCTTCTTCGCCTATGAACAAGTACGTACTATTTATTTACC